CTCGGGTTCGAATTTATCACTTGTGTTGGGCAAGGCCGTGGTCTCGGCAACACGGAGTTTTCCTCCGTGGCATCCCCACAATTACTCCATTCACACACAGAAGAAGGCAATGGCAAACCACTTCTGGATCATCTGCCAAGAACGTATATGAACAGGTCCCAGTCCGAGAAAAGGATGGGAGGATCCTGTTCATATGGACCTGTCGTCAGACAGAACACTACAAATAAATACAAATAAAATCGGCGTGACTACACCACGTCATGTTGTAACCTACTAGCGCCAGTCGGCTTTACGTCTTCGTACCATCGAAGTGCAAAGATGTCTTTTTGACACGTGCAACGAGTGGCAATTGTCGAAAACTACTATAATCTCCTGTTTACTTGCCTGGAAGAATTTAGGGATACATTTCTCGATTCTCCTGTGCCAAACAAATCGACAAAATCTCGTTTGGTGAACCGTGTCCATGACAAATGAACGTTTTAACCACTGCATCAACCACTGTTATCTTTTCTTATTTCATTATAATTTATTTTTGACAAATAGAATATGTGTCTGGAATGGGTTTCGTAACATTTAAAACACTATGTGCTCATTCCCATGCAAGTTTTAACCTTTCTGAAATTAATACCAGAGAAACATTTAGCGTCGCCACAACTGGCAGGTACAGAACCAGTCAACATGTTGATGACTCGGAGATTGGCTGCTCACAATGAACAGCCAGTGTTTCGAGTTTACCAAGTCAATCTATCAGATTTTCCAGACACGTTTATGTCTGCATCCTGTTTGCAGAGTAAATAAACACATCGTTCAAGAACTCAAGGTAAATATCACGTACTTTAGCACAAAAAAATTCTCAAATCAAGAGAACAACGTCCCGTAGTTATATATTTCATATAATATATAATTAGTGAATTTATTTGAAGTTTCGTTATCATGCAAATTCTACAAAATACAATACAGACACTTTCTCGAAAACGTTGTAATTAGGTCTGTGTTTTTCAGCAGGGGCACTAAAGGATCGGCTAGTTAAATATTATATTGTTGTAAATTTTAAGATTTCTTTCATCATACGTTTTATTTCATCACTAGAGTAAAGATTATGACGCAAATGCTACTTTATATCTATTAAATCAGAATATACGACACAGTTTCGAGGAGAGGGTCCCCAGATGCAGAAATATTAAGCAACTGCTGCCTCGGGAATTTACATACTGATGTTCGGCGAGCAGGAAAGTAGAGACATCGAAAAGAATTTTCCCCCCTTTTCGACACTTGCATAAATTTAGACTACAGCATTTGCTCTTCATTTTACAAAGAGACAGTTATCACCACCACAGAGGAACGTCCTTGCAACACTGTTACGTTATAAGTTTATCTCCGAAATCACAAACATATTAATGAACACTATCTTCAAAAAGTTAATTCAATTCCAGATATGTTGCCATATTTTCTCCACATCTGAATCTCCATCGCTTTAGGTTTAACGACAAAAACATTATGCCTACCTTTTCTCTCCACATCTCGCCAATCTGAGGTTAACCTTCTTTATGCAATCGTA